ATGCCGTCCTTCTATAGTTGCCTGTTATTTGATGATGTCCAACAGTATGATAATCAAAGCTCTACAGCACAAAGTGACGTCAACAAAGTAACCCAGACTTGTGACACAGTACTGCTCTGGTTTCTGATTGGTCTGATCTCTCAAAGTGTTTTCTAAAGTCACAGACTAAAGTGTCTGACTCACTGAGTGATGCTCACAAGCAGCCAGAGCAGCCATTAAACCCGACCGCAAACACACAACATGAGCAGATGTACTCTCACAAACACACCACCACCCTCGCTGTTTTTTTTTCTCGTCACGGAGACCGTGATTGAGTGTGACAGCGCCGCGTCTTGACCGTGGTGATGCTATAATTATCTGTGATGTCTGCCGGTGCAATTGGAGAAGGGGGGCCGGCGGCGTCCACACATCTCTAGAGCACGAGCAGTCCGGCCAGGGCAGCACATACCAGGTCCATAAATAACCCCAAGGAGAAGGAGAAGAGGGAGAGATGCACGAGGCAGGCGGAGGGTCGGGAGATGAGAAAACAGCCCGGGAAATTTATTTTGCTGTCTTCTCTCTGTTTGCCGGGAACGTAATGGTATTACATTTACAGGAAACAGAATAGAGACCACTCATCCCAGAGGTTTACATGGGCAAGCAAAATCTGGCAATTTCAATTAAGATGTGTTTCAGAATTCACTATAGATTTGTGATTAATTTTTCCATGTCTATGCCATAGAATTAAGCTATGACTTTTTTGTGTGTGAAGTATTAATGTTTTCTGAAAGATATAATGTCATGACTCATGATAAACTCAGTAGATTATTAGGCGGGACAAAAAAAGGAGAAGGGTTAGAACTATAGGTGAGACCGCAAAAAAACTAAGTTATCTGTCTGCTTTAGGCAACAGCAATGACGTTTTTGCATGCATTACTGTGTGTTTGTCTATAGCGTTAACAAGGTTTTGATTGGTTGTTTCGGAAATGTGGTGTGTTTGATGAAATGGGAAAAATAGGTTTTATGGTGCAGTCACGCACTTCCTGGTCACAAAACGTTCTCTAAATGCGCACCAAATTTGTAAAAATGTGCACATTATGGCAAAAAATTATTCATCATTAAATCTGGTTTTAACATTACTTTTATAAAGTTTGAAGTCCGTGCTGTACAATCCAACTCACTGTTTTTTTTTACAGAAGCCCTGTGAAAGCATCACAGCTTTGCCGATCTCAGAGGGTTAAAAAAAATAATTCCTGTATCCGCATCGTGATCCTGAACATCACCAAAATATAAAGGTGTGTTCCTTGGCCCAAGAGCCACATGTGGTAAAAATGTCATGACAATCAGTCCACAAGTTTTTGAATAATGTTGTCCACAGACAGACAGACAGACAGACAGACAGACAGACAGACAGACAGACAGACAGACAGACAGACAGACAGACAGACATACGTGACCGAAAACATTACCTCGCCCTTGGCGGAGGTAATAAACTTTCAGACAGTAATCACTGGGAGTATATTCTCAACTGGTTTACCATTTGAAGAGAACCCAATTCAAAATGGCCTCAAAGAAGTAAACGTAGCAAAAGTGGAAAAAGGCCAACTTCGTCAAATTTTACAGATGTGCTAAAATTTGGATACTGGTCAAAGCCACTTTGATAGGCAGGGTGGGCGGTTTTGTGGGGAGGGTGAGTCACCTTCCTTCAATAATGGTAGGAGAAATGCTGTTGACCTTCTGAGATGCACATGTCATGAAGACGACTCACACTACCACTTTAAATTTTAGCTCAATATTTGTAAAAATGACCCAGTTGTGGTAATCTTTTGTGCTACTAATGGTGCTAATGGGCTGACTTCAAAAGTTAATCAGGATTGTATATCTAATGATTATTTTGTGAGAATTTCATTAAAACCAATACCGTGGTTGTTTGTTAAAAGACGCATGATCGGAAGTCATCCCTATGTTCCCCAGTACCTATCTTCTCTCTGGTACACTCATCTGTATGTTTCCTGCTGCCTATGTTCTCCTGGGGTTAAGAATGAAATTCATGAAAAATACTTGGCGCCCCCTTCAAAAGTCTTAACACAATTCAAACAAATTCTGAATTACAGTGCAGGCATTGTAACAGGGAGATATGCTTTCCCATGATCGCCTGCCATTCGTTGTTGGTGGTGGATAAAAATGTCCCAAACCTTCTCTTTTCTGTAGCAGGCCCAAAACTGTGGAATGATCTACCACTACATGTCAGACAGTCTCCATCCCTCGCCGTCTTCAAGTCTCGCTTAAAAACACACTACTACTCCCTTGCCTTTGAGTCTGAGTGAGATGGTGCAAAACCTCACCATGTATCATAACTCTGTTCCATGCGTACTGTAAATATTAATGCTCCATATTTTTATCTGTATTTTGACTATGTCCTGTTGTGTCTGTCTACTGTACAGCACTTTGGTTGGCCTTGTGCTGTTTAAAGTGCTTAATAAATAAACGAGGTACGGTATGGTAAAACCCGTGAAGGTCAAGCGGTTTTGTCGTTTGAGTCTAAATTATGAATCCAGTCACGATAAAATTATCCAAAGGATGAAGGAAAACGAAGAGGGAGACATTTGGTCAACGAGGACCAGATCAAATGTAGCTGAGCGAGAGAGAGAGACACGAAGGTGACGTACCAACTGTATCATGTGCAGCAGCTCGGAGAGCGAGAGCTGCTGACGTCAAACTGTTGGTGAGCCCGACTGTCATCTTTCTTCACAGACCAAGAGAGAGAGAGAGAGAGAGAGAGAGAGAGAGAGAGAGAGAGAGAGANAGAGAGAGAGAGAGAGAGAGAGAGAGAGAGAGAGAGAGAGAGAATTGAATGTGTCCAATAACACAACAACCCTTTCAACTCATATCAGCAAAATGCATATGTATACCAACAAATGTGATTACAAATCCTACAAAATACAGACTTTTTTTGAATAAATGTGGTTACCCAAAAATTTTAGACAATAGGTTTGTTCATCACATTTTGAAAAAGTGCTTCCCCCAGTTCACCTGTTTTGTCATGTGGAAATAAAGGTTTGTGTGCACATAATGCACGAGCATCCTGAAAAATGTTTTTTCCTAGAGCGAGTTAGTTGGCATTTGATCAATTTAAGCTAAAAACGCTGTGAGTGCTTGTTTAACAAGTGCAAACCTCATCTCTAAAAAACAACTGGATAAATTAAGAAGTTATAAAATTTTTTAAACCTTCTCAGATATCATCCAGCTCATAACAAAACTCCTCTTAGCGAGTGTTACAAAGAAATAAATACCAGCAGATGTAGACTCATAAAAGTCTTATTATATGCTGCTTTGCAGCAACAGAGATGCTTTTATAATAATTTACCAGTTTAACCCCACAAACTGTGAAATATTTGGCGCAATGACTTTAACTAAAGCTCAACAATCTCATCTGACACAAAGGAGATTCTTGTTCAGTATTTTCTTCTAACAAAGTTGTAACATTTTTGCATATGTAATTCCATGCCATTAAACTTGCAATATTGAGCCAAACTGCCTCAACTACTACAACTTTCAAGGTTAATAAATTTAACATCTTATTTATAGTTTTAGACGGCTCTTTAATTAGTCAGGTTGGCTAAGATATCTTCACATCTGTTCTAATATTGTGAATAGCTTATCTAGGTTTACAAACACAAAAAACTAATTATTGCTCATGTCAAAGTTTACTAGAATTGAACTGCTTGCCCCCCTTCCCAAAAAAAAAAAAAAAATCGAGAACTGTCCAACACATGATTAAAAACCAGAAAGAGCGTGGAAACATTATCTTAGAGGAAGGTATGTCTCTGCATCAATTACAAGTGGTCCAGAACGCAGCAGCTCCTCTTTTAACAGGAACTAAAAAATACGAACACATTTCTTCAGTTCTGGCTTCTCTCCATTGGCTTCCTGTTCATTTTAGGATCAATTTTAAGATTTTATTGCTTACTTTTAAAGCTTTAAAAGGTCTGGCCCCATCCTACCTGTGTGATCTCATTAACATCCACACTTCAGTTAGAGCACTTCGGTCCTCCAACCAGTTCCTCTTAGATGTTCCCAGATCCAGGCTAAAGTTTAGAGGTGATCGGGCCTTTGCTGTTTCTGCACCAAGCCTTTGGAATGGTTTACCTCTTAGCATACGGACTGCTGAGACTGTTGAGACTTTTAAATCTATACTTAAAACTCACTTTTACTCCCTGGCCTTTCATTCTGGTAGAGTTTGAGATTCTTTTAATGATAAAGTTTTTAATGTACAGTATTTCTGTATTTTAAATTGATATTATTGTCAACATTTATGTGTTGCTCAATTGTTTTATTCATTTGGCTTAACTGTGAAGCACTTTGGCCAACTTCTGTTGTTAATATGTGCTATATAAATAAAATTGACATTGACATTGGAAAAAACTTCAACAACTGAAATTGGCGATCAGTTAAGGCTGCTGCACTGTTCAAAGGAACCTACGAAATTCACTCTCATTGACGTGGTGTGACCAAAATCAGGATTGGGACTATACAGCTGTGTATGAGAACCACTTATCAGTGAGACTAATAAGAAAAAAGTGTTTCTATTTGCTTGGGATCATAAAGACTTGAGTCTGGAGCAATGAGAGAAGATCACGTGTTCTGAGGAGTCCAGATTTACCCTGTTCCAGAGTGCTGGGTGCATAAGGGTAAGAAGAGAGGCAGCTGAAGTGATGCACCCATCATGCCTAGCACCTACTGTATAAGTGAATCTCCTGTCATCAATGCAAGATCTTGGTGAAAAATGAATGAAACTTTGGACAGAACTAAATGTGACATTGCAGAAACTCATGGAAATGATGCCAGTGGTGGCCCAACAAAATAGAGAGGGACCTTTTTTGAAGAGGAAAATATATCTTAGCAGACAGAAACACAAAGTGTGAGTAAGTCATACAGAATCACAGAAACTGAATAAAGACTCAAATCCATCACAAGTGGTGCGTTTTTAAGAAAACAAGCAAGCATGGGTTAATGGTTACCTTCACCGAGGTCCATAACGGCCAACACAGCACTGCAGCTGGTTTCTCCCAGCTCATTGGTCGCCACACATGTATAGAGGCCAGCATCGGTTGTGTGACAGTCCCGGATCCATAGCCCTCCTGGGTCCTGAGCTTCTGAGGTGGGAAGGAGTGTTTCGTTGTGGTACCAGGTCAGTGAAGGTTCAGGATGTCCCAACACAGAAACTCTAAGTCGAATATCACAACCTGTTCCCACTGCAGCTTTACGGAGTTTACGAACAAAAACTGGCGCTGACGGGTCTTGGGTTTTGCCCTCCGTACCATGACAGACTGGGTCGTTTGTCATCTTGGCCTTCTTGGAGGGGATGTTGGGACAGGGGCTCAACTCTAAACCGTCTGCCATTTTGATTGATATTAATCTTTACAAACTCCACCTTTTATCTACCAGTTGACAGTTATCGTTCTGAGCTGCATTTACTGAACATCTGGGATGTTCACTCCACTGCTTCAGACATCTCTGGGTTCACAGAAGACCTGGATCACAGCGCCAGGAGCTGGAATGACCACAAATCACATGACAAAGTTACCTACAGAAAACAGTTTGCCATAAACACCAATACCGATCTTGATCATTTCACCAAATTATTTAATGTGCAAAAATAATGGACTGGCAAAAATGGGACAAGAAAATGACACTTTTTGGCCATCAGGACCCACCACCATGTCTGGTTCACATCTCTCAGGCTGAAAAAAACATCCCTATAGTGAACATGGGGTGGGGCAGAATCGGGATACGGTGATTGAAAACTGTGTTGAAAGGAAGACGGACAATGTAAAATATAAATAATTATTTGTTGAAAACCTGTTTGAGGTTTCAAGTGATTTCAGACCAGGACAGAGACTCACATCCCCACCAGGACTCTACAAAGTGGTGACTTTGGAGGGGTGAAAAGACCCAAGTGGTATTCTCAGTCCTACCTGTAAAATAAGGTTTGGTTTGGTTTGGTTTTACCCTGTTGTGGGCATGGTTCAGCTAATAGGGGAACTAATTTTTCACTTAGCGGATTTGTTTTTCGCTAACTTTTGAAAACTGTTAAAGGACTAGTTAGCTTCAGATAATTAGGTTTTGCCAACTTTAAGTCAGATTAACATCAACAGGAGTCAATGACGTTGTGACATAGTGAGTGACAGCTGTTTTTAGTGGTCAGTGATTAGCTGTCAGTGTTAGCTTCTGCTAATTTTTACTTGTTTAGCTGTTTTTATTTATTTATTTTTATAAGTTTAGGGGTTTAGCATTGACAAAAATATATTTCTGGTTTGCAGATTGTGAGTAAGAGCAGCTAATTTTTTAGTTAATTGTGCCCACCACTGGTTTTACCTTAAAGTAAAATCTACTGTTTCTTTGGTTTTACTGGGCTTTAAGCCATGATAACTTGAATAATTCTCAAGAATTTGTTAACTTGTAACTTTTCTGTATTTATGCATTCTATGCTCTGGTAACACTATCCACAAATTTCTACTTAGGGAAGAAAGAAAAGTTACATTTTCCTTCCTTATTATCATTACAAGGAGTCTGGTCATATGAGTCAAATGAGACCAGACCACTGGTCCCCCTAGTGGTTTGTTGTGCTTCAGTTCTTTTGGTGTGGTTCCTTGCAGTTGTTTTTCTCTCTTTTTTATTATTTTTAGTTTAGTTTTATTTTTTTGTATTTTTTAGTATTTAAAGCATTTTTCAATTGTATTTGTTTTCTTGGTTGTATGTTTTGTAGTTTATAATTTATGTGTTTGTTGCACATTTTCACCTGTCAGCTAACTTGAGGTGAGGTGTGGTGAGAATGGATGAAGAACCCAAATAAGTGAGCTCATTGTTCTCCCCAAAAAGATGACATAAAATGGAAATTGTCTGATGGACATTATACCTAAAATCCAGATGAAACAGCAGAAAAAGTATTTTAATTTTGGACATTTCCATCAAAATGGAATCAAATTCAAGCTTCTCTAAAAACAGTTGTTTTTATTAAACATATTTTAAAAATATTCTGAGAAATGGATATCAAGTGTTTTATTTGATATGTTTTGTCATGTACAGATGGACTCTGGTTTATGATAGATAATTTATTATTTTATTTAAAAGCAGTTATTTCTTTGTAATTTTGTTTTATATACCTTTGTGTTTTGTTGATAGTTTTGGCCCAGACACTCTTGAAAAGGATTTTTTTTTATCTTGACAAGTTTATCCTTGCAGAATTTAAGAAATAAAACGGAAAGAAACACTCTGGGAATTAAAACTTTAATTCATAAGAGATGCATTTTTAACCTTTTACAACAAGATTAGCTTCTTTTGAATCAAACAATGATTGGTTTTCTTTACTTGTTTACTTTCTTTACTCGCTTCACACAGAAACTAATTGAGGAAAATGTTTTAGAGCACCCCGATCTTTCAAAATAAAACTTGCCTCATTCATTGCCACTTTTATTATTTGACTCTGATCTAATTAGGTTTGCTGCACGTATTTAATTGTGTTTTCTTTTAAAACTTTAAAGAGAAAATTAAATGTGTGTTACATGTATGCACTCATAAAGCAATCTGTCACAAATTTGAGTGTAGATATCTATAGTCTCTTCTTCAAATATGCTCATCTAAAGATTTGCTCAATTGGAAGTCATGACAAAAAGGAAATGCAACTTACCGTTTTCGTTTCGCTGCTGAAGCCAAAAACAAAATTCCTTTGGACATCCCCACAGAGTCCAAGCTGAGATCAGAAGCTCCATGGAGCCGTATATTTCATGTCAAATCATTTGTTGAAGCCGCCGCCTCTGTCTGTTGTTTGGCGAGCGCAGACTGGAAGGTGTAAGTCCACCACAGATCATGAAGCATTAGCAGCCATCACCACAGGCGCTGGTTTCAGCAGCTTTAGTCCTCCTGAAAAATGTGGAGAAAGAGGGAGATCATTTCTCCTTAAGGTCAAGCCACTCAGGCCTTTCTGTTCTGTGTGTCCACTTCCATGTGTGTCTTCAAATCAGCACTTTTAACCTTGTTAGGCTTTCAAATATTTAAATCAGCTCATGTTATCTGCCTCCCTCACTCCCATATTACTGCTGACCCCACCCCCCCACCTCACCCCCACCTCAGCTTACTCAGGTTGGGGATGACAGCTGCTCAGATAGGTCACATTTCCTGGATGGACTTGTATGATCTCACACTCTTACGCACACACACTCCAAGCTCTTTAGATAATACTATCAACCAAAGTGCGTGTGTGTGTGTGTGTGTGTGTGTGTGTGTGTGTGTGTGTG